CATGTTCAGGTGTGACAATATGAAATTTCTTGATATAGAAGACGTAAAAATTCATCTATATAAGCATGGTTTCATCCCTAACTATTATAATTGGATATCACACGGGGAGCCATACGCAAATGTTGTTTCCCCGCAGTTTTATACTGAGAATGAAAATGAGGCAAATGTTCACAATACACCACCAAATCCATATCGCACAATGATTCTAGAAGCAGCTGGGCCTAACTACAATTTTGAGTTTGATGGAAATAATTCTGAAAGAGATGAGGCAGAGCTTCCTAATAGTGACGCTAACCAATTTTATGAATTGCTCAAGGCTACAGAAGAGCCACTGTATGAGGGGTGTAAATCACATACTCCGCTATCGGTGATGTCTAGGTTGTTGAACATTAAATCTGAGTTTAATATGAGCGAGTCATGCTTTAATCGAATATTACAATTGGTGAAAGAGCTTTTACCTGACAACACTAAGTTACCTAACGACTTTTACAAGACTAAACAAATGGTTAGAAAACTTGGTTTAGGGTATCAGAAGATAGACGTGTGTCCAAATGAATGTGTTCTATATTATAAAGAAAACCAAGATTTGAAGGTTTGTCCTATTTGTGGTCACTTCCGGTATAAACCGAAAAGAAAGGGAGAAGCAAAGCAAAAAGACATTCCTCATAAGGTATTACGATACTTTCCTCTCACATCAAGGCTTCAAAGATTATTCATGTCCTCAAAAACATCAGAACATATGACATGGCATAAAGAAAGTCGTCGAGAAAACGAGACCATGAGCCATCCATGCGATGGGGAGGCATGGAAACATTTTGATAAATCTTATCCATCCTTCGCTATTGAGCCTCGTAATGTTCGATTAGCTCTTTCATCTGATGGGTTTAGTCCATATGGACAAAAAAGCCATCCATATTCTTGTTGGCCGGTAATTATAACACCATATAATCTACCTCCTGGAATGTGTATGACAACCCCTTATATGTTCTTAACTCTTGTTATTCCTGGTCCGAAGAGTCCCGGTAAGAAAATAGGAATTAATCCTTCGAATGTTTCGAGAAATTTGGTTACAATATTCAAGAAATCATTTAGCGGTCCCTGGCCTACATGGAGCAGTGTTCCAAATCATGTCAGAGATCGTTGGTTTGGAGAATTTCAGGTATTATATTTTGAATAACTAATAATTATTTATTTATTTATTTCTTTATTTCTTTGTAATGGATTAATGCAATCTCCTGTTTGTTTCTTCTATGAATAGTATAATTAATTATTTGATGTCTTTTGTTTACTTTTTTGCTATACGTAAGCTGGTAGAAATTTAGAGTCTGGTAGAAATTTTTTTTCAACTTTATTAATCTGCACTCGCATGGATTGATTAAGTTACTTTCTCAATTATTTAGCTCATTTTTTAATTTGTATGGTTTGCTAAATTATTATTTTTATTGAATATTTACAGAAGATGTATAATTGGGCAGAGGATGATCGTTTGACAGTAAGAAGACATTTTGAACGTAAAGGAAGTACCAACTTGAGCAATTCTTTGAACAAAGCTAAAAAGCGATATAACGAGACAAAAATAATACCCAACTGGATCAATCGGAATCATTGGCAGGAACTGATGGCTTATTGGAATACCGACAAATTTATAAATAAATCTGAAATTAATTCCAATAATAGAAAATCAAGTATAAATGATCAAGGCACATCTTTGCACACAGGAGGATCAATTCCTATTTCGGAATATAAAAGAAGATATGTAAGTATTAATTTTGTACTTTATTCTTGATAATTGAATTGTTTAATCTCCAATTTACTATTTGCTCGTTTCTTTAGGTTAAAGAGAAAGGGAGAGAGCCTACTGCCTCAGAGTTATTTTTGATGACTCATAAGACAAAAGGAAACAATGATTGGGTTGATCGTAAATCAAAGTGTGTATGGGTATGATTCTTATTTTATATTTTATTTCAATCACATAATGTTTAACGACTGCTGTTAAAATCCGTTTTACATTTAGAAGGACTGGTGTTTAGTATTCTTCTTTAGTTGCTTGAATATGCTCCTTTGAACTGTACTGATAATGCAGTAATGAACTGCTTGAATATGTTCTTTTGAGGTATTGATTTTTAGCGAAATATATATGATTCTTCTAATTGAAATACATTTGATGTTGCTAATTTTCTATTACTCTATTTTTTGGATTTATTTATTATCAATTTTATCGTATCAGGATAAATTCTCGACAATCATCAAGCGAAGGCGTTTAGATAACGATGCCGATGGAGAAGGAAATGAGGATACAACAATAAACGATGACGAGGAAGAATAAGATGCTAATGGAGATGAGGCCTTCATGGAAATGATGCATTCTCTACCTAAAGAAGTTGTTGATAATGCTTGGCTCGAGGCAACTGGAGGACCAATTAAAGGAAGAGTTTATGGTCTCGGATCAGAGTCTGCTAATGTTTTACATAATGTTAACTTTATTTCTAATGCTTCAACGAGTTCTTCATCAACACCACCAGCGTCTTCTCAAAACATGGTTGACAGTCCTACTTTCGAAGAAGTTGTTAATCGATTGGTGGAACAAAAGATTGCAGATATGCGTGCATCTTTTGAAGAGCAACTACAAGCCGGTATCCAAGCTGCCATTCAGGCCGTGCACCAAAGTGAACCAAGAGGATCTACTAGAGATACACGGTCAGCAACATAGTTATAGGATAAGATTAAAATTAATATTTTTAGAGAAAGTTATTTTTTTCTAGAACCTGATGTTGCACATTATATTGATATTGTTTAGCTTAAAATATTTTTTGATGACTAGTTTTCAGTCTTGCACTTTAGTATTGTATCAAATGTTCATTTTATGAGCATATTTGGATGTTTTGTTTTTTGTTTTAAAATATTTTTTGATAACTATAGTTTTCAGTCTTGCACTTTAGTATTGTATCAAATGTTTATTTTATGAGCATATTTGGATGTTTTGTTTTTGGTAAATTAAATATCTGCACAGGTTTTAATAATTGGTAAAATGATTTGGCTACAGCTTTAGCAGCGAAAATTTCTAATAATGGTTGTGTAAAGTCACTTTTGGCGATGAAATTAGAAATGAAATTTGTGACGGATTTTATGTATTTCGTGATAGAATATTGCAATGGACTTAGCTATAGATTAACGACGGATTATTTGCAACGTCCGTAGCTACGGATTTGGCAACAACACATTTTCGACGCACTTAGCAACATAATTAGCTACGGATATTAGACACGGACAAATTTAACATTAGTGATGGATGTGTTCGTTGCTAGTATAGCGACATATTTTGGCGACGAACGATATTCATTTCTACCATAGCAACGATAATTAGCGATAACTTTAGCCATAACCATTAGCAACATACATGTTTTGTATTAGCGACAGACTAGTCCGTGACAACCGTAGCGACGAAGTGTAGCAACGATCATTATCTGTTGCCACGTGTAGCGACGGCATTTCATCAAGTCGCAGCTAAAATTTAGCGACGCGGCTTTTTTCTACAGAATTGGCAACGCATGGCATCTGTCGCTAATCACAAATTAGCGACGGATTTATATTGTTTAGCGATGGATGGTGCCGTAGCTAATAGGCGATTTTCTAGTAGTGTTCCCTTCTTACCCGCAATTCTGGAAAGCTCTGTTCCAACAATCGGTGGCGGATCTTGCTATGGTCTTGGGTGCATGTGCAGTTGCACACCCTTGATTTTAAATAAATAGTACTCTTCTTATACATAAATTGACAGAAAAGGCAATTAAAATTTGCTTTTTTTGTTTTCTGGTAGATAGAGATCTTTCTTGGGTGAAATTATATTTGGTGGAATTATTTCTGAATATTCTTTTTAAATTTGAAAATTATATATTTCTTTTATTTTTTATTGTTCTGAACTCTTGATTGTACCAAATTTTATGACATAGTTATTTTTAATCTTATACATATTATGTATTTCAATCTTTTTAATTGTTAAAAATATGAAATATTAACAAAAAAAAAACATGCATAAATGTAAAAAAAAAGTATTAAATATAGATAAATATATCATAAATAAATAAAATAAAGGGTAAATTACAACTACCCCTAAAGTATGGTCAAAATACGAAAAATCCCCTCATGTTTGCATAATTACAACTATCCCCTCAACTATATATGAATCTTCTTACACGTCCACCCTTATGTTGTCAAATTCAACATAATCTTCGAAATTTCGTGGAATGTTCTCTAGTTTGTACTCGTTTAAATGCATTTTCTGATGCACCACAATCTGATATATACAAGCCAAAAAATACATCTTATGATCATCTTGCTTCAAAATGCATGTGAAGTTCGAATGGGATAAAACAGTTACAAAATTGAGAATTAATATACGATATAATCTAGAAGAATCCACTAAATTTGACACCGCAAAGGTGGTTATATTTAGCCAAACAAAGGGTTTTTTTTCTCGTAATATGATCATACATCAGGGGTGGGTTGGTTGTTATTTACCCTAAAATTAAAAGAAAAAATCATCTACTAATAATAAATAAACCATAAATTAAAAAGAAAGAATAAAAGATAAGTCAAGAGTAAAACACACGACTAAATTGTAAAGAAGGAATGAAAAGCTTATCCATTTAGCTATCTCACCTTAGAAGCTACGCAATGACAGACTACTTAAATCAACATTAAACATTATTCATGATGCATGCATGCAAACATCTTTATTAGCACCACTTAATGAACTAGCTTAATTCTGATTTAAAAAAAAAAAAAAAAAAAAAAAAAAAAAACTACGAAATCGATCCTTCAATCAGGACGAGTACACAGATATGGCGGCATAGGGTGGAATACTTTGCTCGTTTCTGAAAAAGTTTGTTGGATCAACCTTAGTCTTGACACGAACTAATCTTTGGAAATTGTTCTTGAAATATTTCATCCCCCAAACCCTAGCCTGTTCATAGCAGGTTGTAGTATTTCCAGCTGAGTTGTTATTCATCCCCAAATCAAGATCCCTGTAATTGATATAAGCAGCTCTAGGGTTTTTCGACACGTAAGTGGCCATGTAACTGTAGAGTCTCCTCATCCATTTTATATGCTTTTGATCTCCTTGTTCTTCATTATTTCCTTTTGAAGAATGCCAATATACACCATACTCAATTATGAAAATGTTACCGGATCGATGTGGGAACGGTGTTTCAGATTCCGAGAAACTATTCAGCACACCTCCGTATGGGCTCAATTCCAACCGACTTCCCATTTCATCTTCTTCGTGCATGAATCTCCATATTCCTTGGAGCCCATCTAATGGAATTGGCTCTTGCACATAGTCTGATTTTCCTTTGAAATATTGTCTACTCGGGGGAGCTGTTTCTAGCAAAACGTCGAGGGGCTTGTTTTGCAGACCTGCGAAAAAGAGTACCGATTCTATCCAACTCATTTCCGTACAATCTTTCTCCACTAACCCTAGCTCTGGAAATTGCTGTTTCATCAATGGCAGAAGATCCTGAACTCCACCTAGGTACAAGGTTGTGAAAGAAGCAATAACTGTCCGGTTTCCGGTGACCGGAGATGTAACGCTTCTCAAGAAGAGTCTGAGCAGAAGATTCTCGTCGACCTTGTCGGCGATGTACTGCCACCTGTGCACTAGCTGGGTTGCGTTTTGTTCGGAAGTTCTTGTGACGTTGAAAACCGTCAAGGTTTCCGGGACGGTGACTAGGTTTACTTTAAAGGCGAGGACAATCCCGAAGCTAGTACCTCCGCCGCCTCTTATGGCCCAGAACAGATCCTCCCCCATTGACCGGCGGTTCAAGATTTGCCCATCGGAGTTCATTACTCTGGCATCCACGATGTTGTCCGCGGCAAGAGAATGCTTGCGGGACATCATGCCATATCCTCCCCCGCTGATGTGGCCGCCAACGCCGACCGTGGGGCAAACTCCGGCGGTGAAAGCAAGAGTCCTGCTTTTCTGGGCTAGGGTGTGGTAGAGTTGACCGAGGGTTGCGCCGGCTTGAACCCAGGCGGTTTTCTCGTTGGAGGCGATTTTTACGGCGCGTAGGTTTCTCAAGTCCACGACCATGAAGGTAACCTCGGAGGCGGAAGAAAGACCTTCGTAGTCATGGCCGCCGCTTCTGAGTCGGATCTCCACTCCGAGTTTCTTGGAGCAGTGAATCGCCAATCGGATTTGGTGCTCGTAAAAAGGGGTGAAAATGAGAAGAGGCTTCTCCGGGAAGGTAGCCGCCGGTCTTTGATTTTCAATTTGAATAAGAGTTGCGTATGATGAATTATTGGGTGTGTAAATCAGGTGACTCGTTGCTGAGTTGGAGCTTTGTAACTCAACGGTAAGGCATTCAAGAAAACCAGCTGGTGAATCAGTTGTATTAGAAGCTCCAAACCCTAAAGTAATTCTGTGGTTTGTGAAAAATAAAATTATTACTAGGAATGTTCCTAATAATGTAATATTACTAGGAAGATAAGCCATTTCTTGGATTGCGTTTTGAGTGATTTTTCAGCTACGGTTAAACCACTACTATTTATAGCCTATAGATAAGCTAATTTTAATCATCCAAAAAAAAAATAAGCTAATTTTATTTTTACTGGGTTTTTGTGTATAAGTCCCCAACCAAGCACTTTTATTATTTTAGATTTATGGGTTATATTTATTTCACCAATAAGTCCATCCCTTTAATATTTATTAGGGTAAAGTTCAGTTTGCCTACCTGAACTATACCCAACGTGTAAAATGCCCCCCTCAACTTTAAAATGAACCAAAACAACCCCTTCCTTTTCTTGGTCAACGTTAAATATGTTGAAAAAATTAACACCGCTAGTTTTTATAGGAAACCGTTAGTTTTAACGTGATTTTACACTTTTGCCCCCAAAATCTTCTTCTTCCTCCCTTCACCATCTTTCTTCTCCGTAATTTTTTCGTATTTTTTTTTTTTTTTTTATTTTCCATCGCCGGACCTGTGGAAATTGATGTGAAGTTTGGTGGGTTGGACATGTATACTGCATCAATTTCTTACTTTTCTTACTTCCGATTAAAAATATATATTTTCCATGGACCAATTGTTGAGGTGCAAACAATGTCCCACATCGGTTTAATATGGGAAAGATCTATGGTTTATAAGGAGCGGATAGTAACTCCATTGGTGTGAGGCCTTTTGGGGAAACCCAAGAGCAAAACCAGTTGGGCCCGGCCCAGTCTGGACAATATCATACCAATGTGGAGTTCGTGCTATCCCGGCGGGGGCCCAACAGTGGTATCAGAGCCATGGCCCAGACCTAACCATGTGGTGGAAGTTGCCGGAATTGGTGGAAATTCCCGAATCCTCGGTGCCGAACAAAAATGGTGAGCTCCCGGTGCGCAAATGGAGGCGGCTCGACGAGCTCCAGGAGGGAGGCTCGGTGGTGTGAGCCCCAGGCGCAAATTGAGGGGAGGCTCGGTGGTCCTTTGTGGTCCGACCTATGTGGTACTTTGTTCGAGGGGAGGATTGTTGAGGTGCAAACAATGTCCCACATCGGTTTAATATGGGAAAGATCTATGGTTTATAAGGAGCGGATAGTAACCCAATCTGGACAATATCATATCAATGTGGAGTTCGTGCTATCCCGGCGGGGCCCAACACCAATTGCCTTTTTAAAATTGCCAAATTTAGTTTCAACATTGGCAATTCACCCTTTCTTCACACACACACACCCAGACACACACATAGATTCCGTTGGAAGAGGCGGTGAGCGAACAGAATACTGGGGGGCAGTCGAAACGGAGTGCGAGCAGCTTTTTGTTGGAAGTCGAGCCTCGTTGCTGCGTTACGAACGGCTGACGACCGGAAAACGAATCTGGCGGGGCGATTGTCATTTAATTTTTCTTCTTTCTTTTCTTTTTGCAGTGGGGTTTCAAGAGGTGAACGATGCAAGAAGGGTTATCTGTAAACCTTTTCTTCAATTCCACGAACTTAAATTGTCAATTTCTCAGGAATAAATTTCGATAGTAACAAATTTTATTTTATTTTTGGTTTTATTTGTGGATTTTCAATTCATTTACATGTTCGTTTATTTGCAGGTGAATGACGTCATTTATATGGCTCTCAAATTTTATATACTTAAATCTGTTTTTCTTTTAATTTCATTAAAGTAATTATTGACATAAAGAAATTATTAAACAGAGGGGTAAATTTGTCAAAAAAAACAACAGCTGTAATAAAGGTAATAGTTGTAAAAAGTCAACATGCCATGTAAGCAAGAGAAACGGATTTTAAACGGAAGGGCCGTTTTGGTACATTGTGTAGTATAGGGGGGTTTTTTATACGTTGGGTATAGTTCAGGTGCGTAAAATGAAGTTTACCCTATTTATTATAAATAAAGGAAACATTCATGTATATGTCAATATTACCCTCAACCATTTATACCCAATTCTTAATTGTACTCCAAATTTAATCAATTTTGATCACAAAATTTCAATTTTGACTTTTTTGTTTCAAAAAACTAATCCTTAACTTTATTTAATCTAAATTTGACCCCAAATTTCACAAATTATTCAATTTTGACCCAAAACTTTTTTTTTTGACTTTTCAAAAAAAAATTTCTTTCAGATTTTTTCGCCGGTTTTCGGCGTTGACTTTTTTTTTTTTTTTTTTCTTTTTTCTTTTCTTTTCTCCGGATTTTTTCGCCGGTTTCCAGCGGTCTCCGGCGTTGACTTTTTTTAGTGTTTTTTTAAGTTTTTTTTTACATTCGCTGCTAAACGTTGACCATAATTGTGCTGTCACTGACAGACGTAAATTAACGTAATTATACTGTTAATGACAGTTAATTAACGTAATTGTACTGTCGTTGACAATACATTTATGTAATTGTGCTGCCGTTGACAGTAAACTAATGTAATATTATTATTTTTTATTTTTTGTTGTTTTTTTAATTTTGTTTCATTTGTTGACAAGTCAACGTAATTATATTACAATCGTTGACAGTAAAATAATTGTAAACACAATAATATTACTGTCAACAACATCAATATTATTATTTTTTTGGTTTTTTTGTTTTGTTTGAGTTATTCACGGAGTACCGTAATAATATTATTGTTTATTATTGTAATATTATTGTAAACACTATAATATTACTGTGGTTGACGGTAATATTACTGTTGTTATAGTAATATTGTTGTCAACCACATCAATATTTATTATTTTGTTTGGATTTTTTGTTTGTTTGAGTTATTCACGGAGTAACGTAATAATATTAGTGTCTATTATTGTAATATTACTGTGGTTGACGGTAATATTACTGTTGTTATAGTAATATTACTGTCATGACTCACAGTAATATTAATTCTTTTGGTTTTTTATTATGTTTACATTTGTTGAACGGTCAACATAGTAGTATTACTGTATTACACAATAATAATGAGTTTTGTTGAACGGTCAACATAGTAAAAAAAATTTATTCCATGATCAATTAGGTCCATGTAATATTTTTCTTTTGTAAATTAGTAGTAATAACTAATGTAATTATTATTAAAGTATTGATGATTAAGGAACAATAATTACAGATCTGGTAATTTAATGTATAATGTGTGTGTGTGTGTGTATCCAGCTGCTTGGGTGTTTGTACAATTAATATATGGTTTGCCATAATAATATTTAATTTATGGGAGAATATAATAGCTTGTAATTTGGTTGGCCATGGCTGAAGATAGTAAGTATATAGATAGGGGTTAACTTAATTGGTGGTGGAGTACTATACGTTAAGATATGGCATACGTTTGAATAACTGGTCCCGAATAAAAAAGGCCAAATATATGGATGCATGCATGTGGTGTACGTTAATGTTTGGAGATAAATTAAATGGAGTGGAGGATATATGTTTTTATTATTATGCGCGCGTGTCTAATTGGTGCATTGTCTTATACCTATTTGTCTAAATTGAATAAATAGATCATACGAATAATTATATTGTCTCACTCCCTATAATATAAAATGACATGCATGCAGAAACTTCTCGATATATCAATTCCTTTCATGTTTGGTCCGATTCCAGACAGCTCAGATGATGTTATAATTCATCATGCGAGAAAAAACGTGGTATATTCAACATGAGTACGTACAAGGATTAGGGCTAAGGTGGCATCAAGGGATTGGTTTGTGATATATGTTGATGTATAAACATAGATTATTTATAGAAATTGGTGGTGACATATGAGAGTGTACAAATTTTACTTTGTCACTACTTCTGCCAAAGTTGAAAACTAAGTATGCATGGCCGCCATGCACATGTTGAAAGCATGCTTGTCTAGTATATGCACTTAATTATTACCTATATATGATTTATTTAAATATTAAATTATTGGATACAAAGGGTAAGGAATACAAAAACCTGAACCTTAATGGTTCCAGAATAAAATAATATAATTAATTAGGGACGAATCCAGGGCTTTTAGTTGGGGTCAAAATATGGGGTGAATAAAGAGAAGGAAAAAGAATATTTTTCATGGGATTTTAGTGGGCAAAGTCTGTAAATTAAGGGGCTCTTTGAGAAAACCCCCTCATTATTTTTTTTAATTGAGGGAGGTCCAAAATATTTTAGTCCATTTGAGAAAAGTCCACACCCATTTTCAGCTATTATGCTTTCCAGATCATCACTGGGTCACGCTCAGCGATTGTTTTTTTTTTTTTTTCCGTTTTTTTTCTTCCGTCTTTTCTGTATCAGTTTCCTTAATCGACTATGAAGCATAGTCGATTAGCCTTAATCGACTATGCTTCATAGTCGATTAAGGAAATTATTTAATTATTTAAATTTTTTTTTTGTTTTTAATTTTTGTTTTATATCAGTTATAGTACCCCGACTTCGTCAGCGACGGCGAAGGAAACGGCACCGACGACAATGGCTTCAACGGAATTAGCATCGTTGTTCCGTTCCGGTTGGTTCTTCATCTTCCGATCAAGAGAGAGTAATCTAAGAATTGAGAGAGAAAAGTATAAAATGGAGAAAAAAAAACAGAGAATGGACGGGGAAAGAAGAGACGGGTAAGAAGAGAAAATAAGATTAGGGTTTGAAAGAGTATAGTAGACAATTAAGGGTAGTTTTGGAATTATAAAAATATCACTTGAGTGGAATATTAGGTAAGGGAGTTTTCTCTAATTATTTTTGGAAGGGGGTGTTTTCTTAACTCATTTACCTAGATGAGGGGTCTTGTTAATTATCCTATAAATTAATAGATAAATACCAAAATGCAATAACAAAAAGTTAATAGAAAGGTGGTGATAATTTTTTTTTAGCGGGAGCCCCCTAGACCCGTGGTGATTCCGGCTCTGCTACTAATTACTATTCAGATGGAATGAAAATATCTATTCCAAAATTTAGTTGGAATAAAAGAAAAGTTAGTTCCAATAATAAAAAAATGGAAAAACGGGAAGTTGGAATGAAAATATCTATTCCAAAATTGGAATGATTTTTTTTTTTAAATACTACTAATTTAAAAAAAAAAAAATTACATGGACCTAATTGATCATGGAATCAAAATTTTGCACAACACGTAATAATAATAAAAATAAAATTAGCTTATATATAGACTATACTGGTGTTTGCAAAAGTTTTTAAAAATAGATTATGAGTTTTTTTTTCTCACACTGTTTTAGGTATTCGCAAACTAACTTTTGTTTTTGCTTGTCTTAAAATAAGTTGTTTTAGGATATAATTTTAAAAGCACTCATGCACCTATTTTTTTTATTTAAATTGATTTTTCAGATATTTTGCAAACACACCCAACTTTTAGAATTAAGGACTCAATATCATCTTAACTCACAATCGCTAACTTATACTTTTAAATAAGCTTTTGCAAACACCGCCTATAAATAGAAGTGGTTTAAACCTAGCTGAAAAATAACTCAAAACGCAAACCAAGAAATGGCTTATCTTCCTAGTAATATTACATTAGGAATATTCCTAGTACTAATTTTCTTTTTCACAAACCACATAATTTTAGGGTTTGGAGCTTCTTCAACTGATTCAGCTGGCTTTCTTGAATGCCTTACTGTTGAGTTACAAAGCTCCAACTCAGCAACGAGTCACCTGATTTACACACCCAATAATTCATCATACGCAACTCTTATTCAAGTTGAAAACCAAAGACCGGCGGCTACCTTCCCGGAGAAGCCTCTTCTCATTTTCACCCCTTTTTACGAGCACGAAATCCGATCGGCGATTCACTGCTCCAAGAAACTCGGAGTGGAGATCCGACTCAGAAGCGGCGGCCATGACTACGAAGGTCTTTCTTCCGCTTCCCAGGTTCCCTTCATGGTTGTTGACTTGAGAAACCTACGCACCGTGACAATCGCCGCCGACGAGAAAACTGCATGGGTTCAAGTCGGCGCAACCCTAGGCCAGTTCTACCACACCCTCGCCCAGAAAAGCAGGACCCTTGCTTTCACCGCCGGAGTTTGCCCCACCGTCGGCGTCGGCGGCCACTTCAGCGGCGGAGGGTACAGCATGATGTCCCGCAAGCATGGTCTCGCCGCCGACAACATCGTCGACGCCAGAGTAATGAACGCCGACGGCAGAATCTTGAACCGCCGCTCAATGGGGGAGGATCTCTTCTGGGCCATCAGAGGCGGCGGAGGTACTAGCTTCGGGGTTGTCCTCGCCTTTAAAGTAAACCTAGTCACCGTCCCGGAAACCGTGACGGTTTTCAACGTCACAAGAACTTCCGAACAAAACGCCACCCAGTTACTACACAGGTGGCAGTACATCGCCGACAAGATCGATGACAATCTTTCCACCAGAATTTTCATGAAAAGTGTTACATCTCCGACCACCGGAAAAAGGACAATCGCAGCTTCTTTCACAACCTTGTACCTAGGTGGAGTTCAGGATCTTCTGCCATTAATGAAAGAGCAATTTCCAGAGCTAGGGTTAGTGGAGAAAGACTGTACGGAAATGAGCTGGATTGAATCCGTACTCTTTTTCGCACGTCTACATAACAAACCCCTGGATATTCTGTTAGATACAACTCCACCGACCAGACAATTTTACAAGGGCAAATCGGACTTTGTGCAAGAGCCAATTCCAGTAGATGGGCTCCAAGGAATATGGAGATTCATGCACGAAGAAGATGAACTGAACATGGAGTTGCAGTTCAGCCCTTACGGAGGCAAAATGAACAGCTTTTCGGAATCCGAAACCCCGTTCCCGCATCGATCAGGTAACATTTTCATGATTGAATATGGGCTGTATTGGTATTTACCAGGTAAAGAAGAAGCCGAAAAGCACTTAAACTGGATGAGGAGATTTTACGCTTACATGGCCACTTACGCGTCGAAATCTCCGAGACAGGCTTATACCAATTACAGGGATCTTGATTTAGGGATGACTAGTCTCCACTCGGGCAATAATAATAGTACAAGCTATGAACAGGCTAGGGTTTGGGGGGTGAAGTATTTTGCGAACAATTTCGATCGATTAGTTCGCGTGAAGACAATGGTGGATCCTACCAACTTTTTCAGGAACGAGCAAAGTATTCCGCCCTATGTTGCGTCTGCATACTCGTCTTGATTGACGGGTCGATTTTCGTAGCGGGTCATATATGTTGTAATTATGACCTAGCTTATTTATTAATTATTGAATAAAGATGTTTGCACGCATCATAAATAATGTGAGTTGATCTAAGTATTCTGTCATTATTAAGGAAGAATGAATGTATGTTTGGGTATTCATTGTATATTTTAATTGGTATGCATGTGTTTTGATTGTATTTTATTGGGTATTTACCAGTGTCTTTGTTGAATAATAAATGTTTCATATATTTTATACTAGTTTTGTTGCATTATAAATGTTTCATATTTTGTTGAATCTTAAATGTAAGTTGTTTAAAATACAATACCAAAATTAGGAAATCTAAACAAAATATAAAAAATAAAAAAAAAAATAAAAAAAAAACTCGGCCTACTATAGAAATATTAGATTGGGCCGGACTACAACAATAATCCTCAATAGGCCCATTAGCCCAAAAGAATATCTGATCGGCTTATCTTAAAAAAACTGTCCCAAATTGAAATTATATGACGACAATACTTACCAACCTAATATGTTTTATAATCACTTATTTTCCAAATTAAAAATATGACCATATATTTTATTTTGAAAATAAAACCAAACAGAAACTATTAATTGCCTCTACCTAGATCGGTTTTCTAAAAGTCAGACAAATTTAAAATTTTCAACAAATGATTCTAGAAGAAAATAAAATCAGTATACCATATTTTTAAATATAAAAAACAGGTCAAATATCTTACAAGATCATTTTCCCACTGGTTAGAGAAATGCCGTCTGATCATAAGTTGACTTTTTCAATTTTCAACGTTCTCATCACTTCTTGAAATTGTCTTCCAACCCTTTTTATATTATCTTCTTAATTTTATATTATTTTCCCAATTATTATGGTTTACTCCACCATTAAATTTGACCACGATATCTAGTCAAAGTATGAAATGTAGTTAATTCCTTTTATTTAATAAGAATTAATAATTCCTTAATAACTTAAACAAGAGAAGTCAAGAACCACGACTAAACTGGTGGAGGTGGGTTGCACATATGTATATAATTCAAACTATTTCACCGATGATTTATTATATAATAATTCAAAAAAGAAAAGTATTTTATACACGTCGGCAATTGCTATTTACTGTTAATTCAAAAACTAAAATAAATATATCAACAATAATAATCAATACGAAAGCTACATGAGCATTGACATTTAATAAGTAGGATCGGATTACCTAATTGAAATTGTCAGTAATTAAAAGCACGTGTCTGAATCATAACCATCATCTTGCATGATTGTACGACTATCTCATTGAATTTAATGTTACGTACACTTACCATATATAAAATATTATATTATATTACCTAGTGGCAAATCTTCATAGTCAAATTTTGTGAAATTTGCATTACCTAATTATTGATTATTTTAATTCACGTGCTACAATTAATTGTCTATATATAGTCAATAATCAGAAGCTCTTATATTCATCATCACATTTAAAAAAAAAACACATACCAATTTCAGAAAAGAAAAAAAAAATGAAAACTTCAATTACTTCAATATTTTCTTTCTTCTTGGCTATTTTCCTTTTATTAGTAGTTTCTCCCTCATCGGCTATTAGTTCAAATTCTTCATCGTACGAGGGTTTCATCCAGTGTCTGAAAATTAAATCCGATCCCTCCAGTCCAATCTCTGCAGTTCTCTACGATGAAAACAACTCTTCATATTCATCAGTTCTCGAAACATACATCAGAAACCTGAGGTTTAACGAATCAACCACCCCTAAACCACGACTTATTATAACCGCAAAACACGTTTCTCACATTCAAGCCGCCATTGTATGTGCGAAGGCAAACGGCATGCAGATGAAGATTCGCAGCGGCGGCCATGATTACGAAGGCGTTTCGTACTGGTCGGCGGTTCCGAATTTCTTCATACTTGATATGTTCAACTTCCGATCAGTCAACGTCAGCATTGAAGACGAATCGGCCTGGGTTGAATCCGGCGCGCTTCTCGGAGAAATCTACTACAGAATTGCGGAGAAGAGCAGCACCCATGGCTTCCCCGCCGGAGTTTGTCCCACCGTCGGCGTCGGCGGCCACTTCAGCGGCGGTGGGTATGGTAACATGATGCGAAAGTATGGCCTTTCCGTCGACAACATCGTCGACGCTCAGATGATCGACGTCAACGGTAAGCTTCTGGACAGAAAATCCATGGGGGAGGATCTTTTCTGGGCTATTACCGGCGGCGGAGGCTCCAGTTTCGGTGTTGTGCTGTCGTACAAAATCAAATTGGTTTCAGTCCCGAAGATAGTAACTGTTTTCAGAGTCCGGCGAACTTACGACCGGAATTTATCCGAACTCGTTTACCGTTACCAGCAAGTCGCCGCCGATAAGTTGCCGGAAGAACTGTTCCTCCGGCTAACCCTAGACGTCGTGAACGGCACGAACAGGGCTACATTTCTCGCCATGTTTCTTGGAAACTCGCAACAACTTTTGTCTGTGATGAACCTTAGCTTTCCCGAACTGGGTTTAAACCAAACAGACTGTACGGAAATGAGCTGGGTGGAATCGGTTCTTTTCTGGACAAACTTTCCGGCGGGAACTCCGGTGAACGCTCTTCTGAGTAGGGTTCCTCAGTCTCTGACATACCTGAAGAGGAAATCCGATTACTTGAAGAAACCCATTCCGAAACAAGGGTTGGAGTTGCTATTCAAGAAAATGGTGGAGCTGCAAACCCCACAGCTGACGTTTAACCCCTACGGCGGTAGAATGGCGGAGATTCCTTCGTCGGAGAAGCCATTCCCGCACAGAGCCGGCAACATTGCCAAGCTCCAATACGCAACAAACTGGAACGAAGACGGAGAAGAAGCTGCGAACCGGTACTTAAATCTGACGGCGGAGCTGTTTGCTTTTATGACTCCGTATGTTTCGATGGCGCCGAGGGAAGCGTTTCTCAACTACAGAGATCTCGACATCGGAACCAACAGCAACGGCCGGAATAGTTACATTGAAGGAGCAGTTTACGGTGTGAAATATTTCAAAGATAATTTCAACAGGTTGGTGAAAATCAAGACGAAAGTTGATCCTCGTAATTTTTTCAGGAACGAACAAAGTATTCCGGTTTTGCCCTGGAGGAAGTGAATTAAGATCGAATTAATTAATTAGTCACATAATTAAATTATATATATATATATATATATATATATATATATTTTCTAGTATATATACATACTATATATTCATCATATAAAAATATATTCCATTAATTATATTATTTTATTATATTGTATGTTTGATTGAAAATAATAGTACATTGTTCATGTGCTTACTGTTGATATTACAGAATAAAATAGATTATATATTGCGTCTTTTAATTTGTGTGTAATTATAAATATGTACGTAGAATATTATTGGAAAGTTGAAGTTTAAGGGTTTGAAAAGTCTGATGTGTTCTAGAAAGAACAGATGGATTTAATTCCTTAGCTTGTCCCCATTTTCATATATTGACTAAATTATGGCGAAGTTTACTATCCATAATTTCAAGAAAAATTAAAAGCCAAAAACTTTTAATACATTAAATAAATGACTTATTACCCGTGGAGGATTGTCCTAATTAAGCTTCCTGTGTTAATTAAGTGGATGTAATGAAGCAAGTCTAAATGAACAAATTAAGCACAATTAATAACCCAGAAAACCTAGATCTAACCCGAACTACCCAGTATGTGGTAGTTGAAAATTGCCATGGTGCATTTATTGAGTGGATGGCTTGGATTAATCGAGAGGCTCTGACAAATGGTCAGGACCACCGAAGGTTTAGAGTCTTCCAAGAGTTTAACGGAACAAGCAAGCCTATTGTACTAGTAGGCTTGAGTTGTTGGAATCCAACAAGAACCCAAAAATCGATTATTGTTATGTCAAAGGAAATACTAGTGTTGCAACAAGAATTATTTCATTATTTTGGGGCCTAGGAACACATAAGCATTGCACATGGACCAGGCCCACTTAATTAATATTGGGCCGAGTAGTACTAAACACAATTGGGCCATCCTAATTGGTTAATGATACTATCGAAGCCCAAATGTAATATACAATTAGAATATCAATAATGTACGCAATTGTAAAGAAGCACAGCCACAGAAATTAAAGGGACCAAGTCAAACACAAAAGTCAACCACTGGTTTCTGAACTTATCATACTTCCATCAAAAGTCAACACGACAATGCCTATTACTCCCTCCGTCCCAATTTAAATGACGTTTTGGGTTGTTTCACATATATTAAGAAAATCAATAAATGTGTATAGATTATAGTAAAAAGTATAGGAAAATACTAATATATCCTTGACATTAATTGTTTTACAACTAACTAATTAGGAGTTATAAAGGGTAAAATTGAAAATAGTGCAATTAATGATGCATTGAAAATCAAAAAATGACAAATAATTTGGGACAAGAAAAACTCTCTAAAAAGACATATAATATGGGACAGAGGGAGTAACGTGTTTCTTTTTTCCCACCACCAAAATCTGTCCTTCGATGCTGAAAATCACAATCACTAATTAGGTTTACACCCACCATAATCTATCCACTAACTCCCATATTTTTCGTTTGACGTGCATGTATTATTTTTTTTATTTTTTTTCTCATAAAATATTAGAATTATTTATTTATTTATTTATTTATTTATTATTTATTATTATTATTATTATTATTATTATTATTATTATTATTATTATTATTATTATTATTATTATTATTATTATTATTAAGAAGCTCGGACCACAGTGCATGCAGAGTTTTAAGAGGAATTAATTAGTTTGACTAAAAATCCACTCATATTGTGGTTATCTTATCTTATTATCTCTCTAAAGTGTAAATACTCGGAGATGCTGTTCCTGCAATTCCACACACGTTATTACAAATGGTCAAACTATTATGGAAGTTTTGTGGCATAAAAGTCCAACCCCGGAAAATGTGTGTAATTATTATTAACATACAAGTAAGTGTGGGGAATACGATGCTACACCCGGTGATTTTCACCGGGTGGCTCTTTTCTTAACATGGTCCTTTTTTATTTATTTTATAATTATATTTCTAAAAACCATTGGGCCATAACTGAACCCGTAGTGGGAATCTTATTAATTTGGGTGTCTGGTTATATTCACCAGGTGTAGCGTTCAGTATTTTATAGATCAACTAGCTCGTCACACGTGATAATATGTGTAAGATGTTTTACATGTCTTTGTGTGTTTTGTATAATACATAGTGCATGTGAATAAAATAATTACCCAATACATTTATATAGTTAAATCACAAGTTTCTTCAATAAATTAAATAAAAATGAGCCCCAATCATACAGTTACCCTATGATTCATGGTTTTAATTACTTATTAAAAGTTAATTGTGCTTAATTTGGTGGATTTTGCTTTCCATAAACAGATCTAACAAAATTATGTTAAGTTGAATATGCATTCTCTATAATTAATGTTATTTAAGCCTTTAACTTAATTAATTAATGGGATTCGTTGGCTTAAATCACTCGAGACTTGGATTTGAAGTTTCTAAATGATAGCTATCGACTAGTGAGATAGCCATGGATGAAATATGTAATAATAATCTAACGGGAGTATTATCACAAATAAATTATTAATTTTCGATAACATTAACAATTTTTGATGTTTTTGTTTTGTAAATACTAAAAAAAAAAAAAATATAAGAAATGATTAAACAAAGTGAAAGTAGATAAATCACATGATGATCTTACCAATTATATTCGTATTAATATTTGCCGTCCGGGAAATACATAAAACGACAACATGTGAAAAAAGTTGTAAGAAAATATAGTACGGTCCAGAAAATTAGTATATTTGATTAGGGCAGTTTAATTTAATTTTAATTAACAGTTACCAATAATAAAGAGATAATTACAATTTCATTCTAAAAGGCGGTTCGACGAAACATCGCGTTTTCTTCTTATCGGCCCCACCACCACCCCCCTTTATATATAAAGAGCTCTTGGTTCTTCCCCAGAGGACAAAAATAAAAATAAAGAAAGGATTTTTGAAGAGAAAAAATGAAGAAATTCATTGTCTTAAATTTACTGTATTTTCTCGGTGTTTTGACTTTTGCATCTGCAGATTCCGTTTACGACAACTTCGTTCAGTGCTTCGCCGGAGCTAAAATCCCCGACGCCCAAATTTCGAGTATAGTCTACAGCCCAAACAATGCCTCCTTCGCGAAGGTTCTCGAATCCTACATCAGAAACCGCCGCTTCAACGTCTCCACCACCCCCAAACCCAGCATCATCGTCACCCCCACGGCGGCGTCCCACGTCAGCGCCGCCGTCCTCTGCGCCAAGAAACTCGGCGTCCAACTCAAAATCCGCAGCGGCGGCCACGACTACGAGGGCATCTCCTACGTCTCCGCCGCCACTTTCGTCGTACTCGACATGTTCAATTTCCGGTCAATCGACGTCAACATGACCGACGAAACCGCCTGGGTCCAAACCGGCGCGATGCTCGGCGAAGTCTACTACAGGATCTGGCAGAAGAGCAAAGTCCACGGCTACCCCGCCGGCGTTTGCCCCACCGTCGGCGTCGGCGGCCACATCAGCGGCGCCGGATACGGCAACTTGCTGAGGAAGTACGGCCTCACAGTCGACCACGTCGTCGACGCCCAAATCGTGGACGCCAACGGTAGGGTTTTGAACAGGCAAACCATGGGTGAAGATCTCTTCTGGGCAATCCGCGGCGGCGGCGGCGCCAGCTTCGCCGTCATCCTCTCCTACCAGATTAAATTAGTCCCGGTTCCTCCAACCGTCACAGTTTTCCGAATCGAAAAAGCTTACGACGAAAACGCAACAGATGCAGTTTTCCAGTACCAGCAAATCGTCGACAAAATGGACAACGATCTCTTCATTAGGGTTCTTCTCCAGCCAATCACCAAGAACAAAAAACGAAGCGTCCGGGCAACATTCATCGGCCTCTTCCTCGGCGATTCTTCCAGGCTCCTGCCAATCACAGATTCCCAATTCCCGATTTTAGGTCTCAAAAAATCAGATTGCCAAGAAATGCCCTGGATCAACTCCGTTCTATTCTGGGGCAATTTCGACAACAAAACTTCACCCAAAGCCTTGCTCAGCAGAACCCCAGATTCCGTCAACTTCCTAAAACGGAAATCCGATTACGTCAAAACCCCGATTTCCAAATCAGGGCTGGAATCCCTGTTCGCTAAAATGGTGGAGATCGGTAAAGTGGGTCTTGTATTCAACTCATACGGCGGAAGAATGAGCGAGATTCCGGCATCGGAAACACCGTTCCCACACCGAGCAGGGAATCTTTACAAGATCCAGTACTCAGTAAACTGGAGCGAAGAAGGCGAAGCAGCAGACAAGAACTACATGGATCAGATAAGGCAGCTGTTCAGTTTCATGGCTCCTTTCGTTTCGAGTAATCCTAGACAAGCTTATCTCAATTACAGGGATTTGGATATCGGAACCACCGACAACGGTAAGAACAGCTACAGCGAGGGGCAAGTGTATGGGTTGAAATACTTCAAGGGTAATTTCGACCGGCTGGTTAAAATCAAGACTGCCGTTGATCCAGACAATGTTTTCAGGAACGAGCAGAGCATCCCCACACTTAATTTTCAAGGAAGAAGAAGATCAAGATAATAGAGGCGGCGTTGCCATTCACGCGCCATTGTCCTTGTCTGTATTACTACTACTACCACTACAATTTATTATTTAAAAGTGTTCAAAAAATATATACTATGATTTTTTGACATTGTGCAGAGATGCATCTCGTGATATATTGAAACTGCCTTTTTTTTTTTCTGTCACATAAGCTTCGTCCACGTGTATTAATGTGTGACACTGGTATTGATTGAGTTATTATTGCAGGCAGACCCATGTCTAGAACAATCTTTTGAAGCAATGAAATTTATGGTTTATGACTTGGTCATATCATACTAATTTAAATATCATAAAGATTCTGTTTCAATGGTTAAATATGCTTTTACAATGTTCATGATAATTGGACCCACAGTTTCTATTAGACTAATGTTGTAACAAATTATGTTAGATTGAAATTTGGAACAATGATTAGATTTGACAACATTATACAGTTAAGAGTTAAGACAAAAGGGCCTTGATTTTGATCAAGAATTTGAAGTATGTTCAGTCCAAAATTACATAATGTTTTACATAATATGATAATCATCTTACATTTTTGGATAAATTAGAAAAAAATCCCTTATATGTGGATAATTACAATCACTTCTCCATATGAATGCCCTTACACATTTACTCTTGCGGTGTTAAATTTTGTGAAATCTTTTAGATTAAGTGGCATATTCTCCAGTATGTACCTGTTTTACCCCATCCGAGCTCCACATTTTGAAACAACATGATCCTAAGATGTGGTGCATCAAAAACTGTATTTTTGCACAAAACGGGTACAAACTAGAAAACATTACACGTAATCTTAAAAATTCTGTTGAATTTGAGATCGTAAGGGTAAACAAGTAAGAAAATAGTTAACTGGTGATTGTAATTACCAAAATAAGAGGAGTTTTGACGATAATTTACCCTACGGTTTTTATGACAATATAATAAATCCATAAATTTTATCAATCCCATAAAAATAAATCCAAACGAGGCGTGAATGGATTACAAATATCATATTCCAATAATCAAATTCCAAAGATTGTATGACCACATTTAAAGCATTTAAAAGCCATTCAACTCACCAAATAAGGCATCAAAAAGTTATGCAAATAACAGAATTACGTATGACCAAAATACTTTCATAATCTTCTTTATTACATTTCTGTTTTAGCAAGAAAGATTACATGAAATTAGTCAAACAAAAATAAAGGGTTGCCAAAACATATTTCTTTTTGCAGTTTTTGTCACACAGAATCACAAAGCATTCTCACCTTTCCTTATTATATAATGACATCAAATTTCAACACATGAGAAAAAAACATCACCACCAATTCTTCAATGTCTTCTTCTTCTTCAAAAATGTTGTTGCTTCTGTTGTTTTTCTTCACCTTCAACTCTTATTACTCGTTCGCTTCGTCGGATTACGACACTTTTGTCCAGTGCCTATCGAGCAACCATAACACCAAGAATCAAATCCCGAATATAGTTTACGGACCTAATAATTCCTCGTTCACCTCCGTTTTGCAAGATTACATAAGAAACCCCCGTTTCAACACCCCCGCCACGAGAAAACCCTCACTAATCGTTACCCCGTTGCAAGAATCCCATGTCCAAGCAGCCATACTATGTTCCAAAAAAATCGGAATCGAACTCAAAATCCGAAGTGGCGGCCATGATTACGAAGGTATATCTTACGTGTCTGAAGTACCCTTTATAATTCTTGACATGTTCAATCTCAGGTCTGTATCCGTCGATATCAAGAGCGAAACCGCATGGGTACAGTCAGGTGCGACACTTGGCGAGCTGTACTATAATATTTGGCAGAATAGCAAAGTCCACGGATTTCCGGCAGGGGTGGGTCCCACTGTAGGTGTCGGTGGTCACATAAGTGGGGGCGGTTATGGAAATATGTTGCGTAAATTTGGTCTGTCTGTTGACCATGTGATCGATGCTCGGATAGTCGATGCCAACGGTAGAATGTTGGATAGGAAATCGATGGGTGAGGATCTTTTCTGGGCGATTAAAGGCGGTGGTGGTGCTAGTTTTGGGGTTGTGTTGGCTTACAAAATTCAGCTAGTCCCCGTTCCACCTGTCGTGACGGTTTTTCGTGTTGCGAAAACCTTGGAAGAGAATGTCACCGATATTTTTTACCGTTGGCAATTTGTTGCGAACAAAATCGACGACAATCTCTTCATAAGGCTTCTTGTGCAACCAACTTCTCTAACTAAAAAGAAACCTAATTTGGATATGAAAAAGAAAAAGAAACCTAATTCAGGAAAGGCACCTGGACAGAAAACTGTGAGGGTTACTTTTATTGCACAATATTTAGGTAATGCTAATGAATTATTGTCTGTAATGAAATCCCAATTCCCTGAACTGGGATTGACTCAACAAGACTGCATCGAAACGAGCTGGATTCAATCGGTGCTGTACTGGGCAAACTACAACAACGGTACATCAGAAAAGGTACTACTCGATCGGAAATCTGATTCCGAGAACTTCTTTAAGAGGAAATCTGATTATTTGAAAACTCCGATTCCGAAAGATGGATTGGAAGGGCTATGGAAGAATATTATCGAGTTGGGGAAAGCGGGGATGGTTTTCAACGCCTACGGTGGTCAAATGAGCAGAATTGGAGAATCGGAAACACCGTTTCCGCATAGAAACGGAAATATATTCAAGATACAGTATTTCGCAAACTGGAAAGAGCAAGGGGCGGAAGCGGAAAAGAAATATATCGAGCAGACGAGGACCCTTTACAGTTACATGACTCCTTACGTGTCGAAGAATCCGAGGGAATCTTATCTCAACTACAGGGATCTTGATATTGGAACTACGAGCAATGGGAAGAACACTTACGATGAAGGGAAGGTGTACGGGGAGAAGTATTTTAAGGGTAATTTCGACAGATTGGTGAAGGTGAAAACTGCGGTCGATCCGGATAATTTCTTTAGGAATGAACAGAGTATTCCACCTCTGTTGCATTAATAAGGGATTGGATATCATTCACATATTAAAGATTGGCTAGAGCTGGATATTGTATTTTATACCAATTAACCAGCCTAAATAATTGAATTTCAATTTCAATTTGTTTTTAAATTTATAAATTTAGTGTCAAGATCTTGAAGCTAATTAACAACATCATTCTTCATACATAGACATGATCTAAGACAGCAAAGTACCGATCGGTTTACCTCTTGCTTTGTAGAAACAAAAACGCCATTGAATATTATTATTAAGGTAATTCACAACATTATTTCATCGATCGTGCGAACGATAATCTAAAGCAGCAACAGAACTTTCGATTCGACCTCTTACATTTTGTTTTTCCTTACAATAGAACCGGAATGCTTTGCTCGTTTCTGAAGAAGTTGTCCGGATCAACTTTACCCTTCACTCGAGCCAATCTTTTAAAGTTGCCCTTGAAATACTTCTCCCCCCATATCTTCGCCCTGCTGTAGCTGCAATTTTCGTCATTTCTCCCCAAATCGAGATCTTTGTAATTGATGTACGCAGTTCTTGGAGATTGAGCTACATACGGTTTCATTTTCTTGTGCAAATTTCTCATCCATTTTATATGTTTACTCGATTCGTTTTTCGTGTTAACTTCCCAATACTTCAAATATTGTACGTTGAAAAGATTGCCCTTTCTGTGTGGGAACGGAATCTCGTCTTCCCAAATCTCGTCAATCTTCCCTCCTAAAGGGTCCATTATCATCATTTGATGGTCGTCGGTATTAAACATTTTGTGTATCATTTTCCAACCCTCATCGGGAATAGGGGATTTCAAGAAATCGGAAGTCCCTTTACTGTAACTGTGTTTGTTCACCCTTTGTTGGAGCAAGATCTCCGGTGGGTCGTCCAGTTTTTTTCCGGCGAAGTAGAGTACGGATTTAATCCAGGGCACCTGGAAACACTCTTTCTTGATGCAGGGCCTGTCGGAGCAGCTGTAGTTTCCGGCCGGTGCACTGAAGCAATCTTCAATTTTCAGGTCGAATTCCGGGAAGATTGTTTCCATGTAAGAGACAAATTCATCGGCCGGGCCGAGAAAAAGCCCGTTATACCCAACGGCAACGAGTTTTTCGAGGGATGTATCCTTTTTTGGGGCGGTCTGTAACAGGATTCTTATGAAGAGGTCTTTAGAGACCTTGTGTGCAGTGTTCTGCCATTTTTGGAGAAGATGCAGGTTTTCGGGTTCGAATTTCCGGCGGACTGTGAAAACGGTCAACTTCTCCGGAACTCTGACAAGCTTGAGTTTCCAGGCGAGAATCACGCAGAAGCTTGCTCCGCCGCCGCCCCTGATTGCCCAGAAAAGATCTTCCCCCATGCTTTCTCTGTCTAGGGTTACGCCGTTGGCGTCCATAACTCGGGCGTCGAGAACGTTATCCGCCGCGATGCCGTATTTCCTCATCAGAGTCCCGAGCCCTCCGCCGCTGATGTGCCCGCCGGAGCCGACGGTCGGGTACAACCCGCCGGGAAACGCGAGGGTACTGCTCTTGTTAGCAATTTCATAGTACAGCTGCCCTAATTTCACCCCAGTCTGAATCCAAGCAATTTCCTCCTCCAAATCGATTTTGGTGCGATTGAGGTTGGAGAGATCCACCATGATGAAAGACAACGGCGTCTCTGAACGGAAGGAGAGACCTTCGTAGTCATGGCCACCGCTTTTCACTCTGATCTGGTGGCCGAACATTTTGCTGCAGAGAATGACGGCGCGAATCTCCGCTTCTCTATGCGGCGCCGCAATCAGAAAGGGCCGCTGGGCGGTGGAATTAGTCCACCGTGGATTCTGGGCGGCGCTTTCAAGCAGTGACACATAAGCCGGCGAATTCGGAGTGTGAATCCGCTGCAGGATTTTGTTCTGGCCGGAAGAGTGATCGGAGATACACTGTATAAATGTTTGGTACTTAGTTTCATCGCAGCTGATTAAACATGAAATTGATAAAATAAATAAAATTGAGATTACTACTGCAAAATTACCCATTTATTTATTTTTTTTCTCACTGAATAATTAAAACTTTAATTCATTTTTCTGCAACTATAATTATGTTAAGGAAGATATATAATATAGTTTGATTTGTTCATTAATTAATGAGCATATTTAGTATCTTCAATTAATGTTCATTTAATGAACGTATTTGCCTGAAGAGGGAGTAATAAATAGACAGGCCAGGAATAAATAGTAAATGACTAATCTACCCTTACAAATATACACACTGAAGAACCAATAAAATTTAATAACTGGAATTCTCAATTCATGAAACTTCTATGATACATTATACAAGCAACCGAAGAGGAAGTGCAGCTAAGCAACACGATAACCGAATTATACAAACTAAGAATTGAATAATGATTGAACAAATGTTTTCATCGATAATTTAAACTAAGAATCGAAGAAGAAGCGCTTTCATTAATGGTGAAGAATTTCTCATCTGCTTTTGCCAGCAAGTTTTGAAGGAGGCAGAGTTCCGAAAACCTTATCCCATAGTGATGAAGTGATGCCGAAGCCTTTGTCCTGGACTCGGAAATGATGATTTAGATGATATTTCTGCACCACCATACGAAACACACGAACACAGTGTCATTGCAAAATAATATTAAACTATAAATTAAAGATAAAACACGAGGTGTGCTTAAATTACGAAAATGTCCTCGTGTTTGTTTACCTTGAGATTCTTGGGGAATTCACTGGTTGGCTGGCTATGGTGCAAGTAGTAATGAGTTACGTCGTACATCACATATCCCAGTAGACCCCCTCCAAATACAGCAGGAGCAGTCATCGGAGTGGAAATTAATTTTATCAAATTCCAGAACTGCAATTCACGTTGTCAGAAAATTGAAACTGTCTAAAAACAATTAAAAAATTGCCAACAGCATATGGATCATAACATACTGGGAATAAAAGCACAGCTGTAGCAGCAGGAGGGAAAACAAGGCGTTGACCATCCATTGGGTGCTTATGATGACAACCATGGATAAGATAATGCATTGTGTTACCCCTGCAAGAACAAGTTATTTTATTACAGAGAGACTTAGCAAAACAGACAAAGAAGAAGGGATTAGATAGAGAGAGCAAGCTAACCAATAACTCTTTGTCTCAATGTGGAAAAGGAAGCGATGAAGGGTATATTCGACCAATGTCCAGGCGAAAATGCCAAATACTGTCAATAATACCACCTCGGGAATTGTATTGCCAAAAGAAACGGCTCTTGAAAGGGACCAGCAAACAACCGGGAGCCAAATAAGGGGAATCACCCACCATTCGTTCCGTGTCAAATACTGTTCAAAGTGGGGAAAATTGCTTATTAGTGATGAAAACTTTTTCTACTAAGTGAATCATAATGACATATTAGTGCACTGTTATCATTAATACCTCCCAAAAATCACTTTTGAAAAAACGAGGGCCTTCCTTGCTGACAATTGGCTGGTGAACCCACTCCTGATAAGCTTCACCAAGATGGCCAACCTAGTGAAATAATCATTAATAACAAATATCGGAATAAAAGCAATTTGCATAAGTAAAGGAATGTTCATGGCTGCATCAATGAAAAGGGTTTCATAATTTTGTGTATCAGTGTTGCCTAGGTGAAAGACGTCATCACTCCAAAGTTGGTAGTCAAATGATCGAACAAGAGAAAAATCAAAGCTATACAAAATGGCATACACCGTCTATAGGTGTACTCGGTATTACCTGGAAAACGAGAGGTTTGTTTAAGTCAACGGTAAAACCCTGCACCACCATCTTGGAACCACGAAATATGACTGTCAAATTAAGATAAGATAAAAGAATAAGTCAGGTACAATACTGTACAAGTGTTGGTTGGAGAGAAAATGTAGTGGCACTTGCAAGATGAGCAGTGAGCTAAAAGATTTAACGAGCTCCTAATGAACAACATTTGTGCCTACACGCTAAATTAATATACAACAATAAACCGAAAGAGACATCTGACAGAGCTAAATATTATTGCAGTACCGTCAATCGACCATGCATGCAAGTGTCTGTCATGCTTTGCCTTCTAAGAAAAACAAGAGTCCATTCATATATGAAAATACTTGTGTCCACAATTTAGTTCACAGTCAGCACTCCATTATTCAAGATGTATTATTCTTGATTGACATTCAGATATATAAACATGACGAAATACGGCCAGCAAATGACACATAGAGTTCTAAGAGCATTATCATGGATCTAAGAGATGCATGCTTAGATTCAAAACCCGTGAAAGAAATGAGGGAAAAAAGCAGAGTTTTCATCTGAAACATTTTCCATAACTGCAAAAGGTACGAGCAAGGTGAACACAGATTCTATATCTTCATTTTCAATTGGTAGATTAATGGATTACATAAAAAAAGTCCAAACATCCCTAAAATTTGACCAATTCAAAACTATGAATGCATTGTACCGTGAAATGAATCACAATTTACATGTGAATTAACTTCAACGGAAGAATTTTCGCATTATGCGTGGGCAAACTAGAACAGTTCAAACATTGACCAGCTACTTTTCCACCCTTTTACTCGGCAACTCCATTCAACAAATCCAACATTTAGAATCTAATTCCAAAAAAATATGTATGTATTTTCCAGATTTACATGTTATTGAGAACAGTGAAGGAATGCCGGCCTCAAAAATCTGAACTGAACCATTCACAATTTCCCATTGTTGTCGCCATATCACCAAATGAACACAACAGAAAACCCAATTATAAAAACGTACGGAATCACGCAATAAATCTCAGATCCAACACTAACCAGATAAAAAAAAATCTGATTTTCACAAAAAACAAAATGGCGAAAAAAATAAAAAAACACTAACCCAGAACAATGGCCGTCAAAATCTCCAAATTGAACCGGAGATTTCCCCCCACTATCGGAAGACGAACCACACTTCACAGTGTGATTTCTTCAGAAAATAAAGAGATATTTAGGTGGGATTTAAAATAAATAAACAGTAGGGGCTGCGCATAAAAGGAGTGTGGTTAATCTCAAAGTATAGAAAGAGTAGTGAAATAAATATAATAATAGGGGGTGAGGGGGGGGGGTGGGGGGTGGAAAGATGGGGGTGGGATGGGGGAGAGAAGATCGTGGCCGCAGGTTTGAGGAATCGGCCAGCATATATTTGAACATCACGTTGGATTCTAACATTTGCCAGCCTGGCGGGTCCATGTTACAACTCATTTAAACATCATGTGATGCCGATTGCCATTACTGTCAATATTTGGCCTTTTTTATTAGATTCTCTGTTAAAATTGATAAATAAATAAAAATTTTAAAAAAAAAAATTGGAATATTTTGGAGTGGATAAAGTATCCTTCCCTTAATATACAATTCCAGGAAATAAAAACAACTTTACTAAATAAAACCAAAAAAAAAAAGTGGAAATGAAATGTACATACATCTAAAGAAAATTAGATGCTACTATAAACCATCAAATTTCATTCTAAAATCCCTTTATACAAACAAAAGTCAGCTACTTTTCTTGGCAGATTTTTTAGGAAGTGTTGTTCCAAACACCCAGTCCCAGAAATTTGAAGTGATTCCATATCCCTTATCTTGAATTCTGAAGTGATGGTCCATGTGGTTTCTCTACATTTAACGCAACGAAATAACTCCCGATTAGCAGCTCAAATACATGATTATCAATAAGATTAATTTTACTAGATAAATAAATTACCTTGAGCTGATGAGATACACCCTTCAACGGTTTGCCATGGTGCAGGTAGTAATGTGTGCAATCGTACATGACATATCCCAACAAGCCGCCACCAAACATAGCAGGGGCGTACTGTGCAGGTGCTAGAATCTTGACCAGATTCCACAGCTAAAACGACAGAAACAAAATAAGGGTTGTAGAAATATAAGAAATTAACGAAAATTTTGAATAATCTCATCGAACATTTCACATACTGGAAAGGCTAAAATTGCCGCTGCAGCAGGTGGGAAAACCAATCGAAGCCCGTCCATTGGGTGCTTGTGATGGCATCCGTGAAGAAGATAGTGAGCCGTGTTACCCCTGCGTTAAATTTTGCCGATTTATTAGCAGATTATAAAAAAAAAAAATCGTCTCGTAATTTGCGAATAGAGCAAAGGAAAAATAACAATATAGCTGGACGAAAGCCAACCAGTATCCAGTTGTTTTCATGTGGAAAAGAAACCGATGCAAAGAGTACTCGAGCAATGTCCAAATGAAGATACCAACTATCATAGCAGTTGCAAGATGATAAGGGGGAACTCCGATTTTTACAGATGACGAGACAAAGCAATATACAACCGGTAGCCATATTAGAGGAATTGCCCACCATGCGGTGCGTGTTAAAAACTGTTCCACAAGAATATACGACTTGTTATGTTTATATTACGCACTGTTTCGTGTTACAGAATACAGAGTACTAAAGCAACTAGCTATATATATATATATATATATATATATATATATATATATATATATATATATATATATATATATATATATATTTTTTTTTTTCGTGCGCGCGAGAGAGAGAGAGAGAGAGAGAGATATATATATATATATATGTGTGTGTCTCTCGTCACTGTTTGATGATGAGACTACTTGTTTTATGTTGATAAGGAGGATGTATTTGTTTAGCTTTCGATTCACCGGGACGTAGAAGTGAATTTTTGCTAGGAATCACCCCCTGCGCACTGCTTTGGGGGAAAGTTTTGCCCTTTTAATTTGGAAATTATTTGTGCTCACTCACGCTTTTTTCGGGTTTAAATCTCCCCCTAGGACACTTTTGATACGAAGTGTGGATAATAAGTGATTTGGGATATGATTTGGGCCCTCTTTGAACCGTTTGAGCCCTTCAAGCCCCCCCCCGTTGTCAAATTACCCCTAGAACCCCGATTTGAGCCTCGGAAGAAAAAGTGTTCTTTCTTTTTGCCCCTATGTAGAAGGGAGA